TACTTTTCAACGATAAAAATTTTATTAAAAATTTTAGTCTAAATACATATCTAAAAAATATATCAAAAATTTTTAAAAGTTTTTCAAATGTTGTACACTTAATTTATGTAATAAGAATTTTCAATTTATCAATTTAAATTTTTATTTAATTATTTTTAATAAAAAAATTTTACAAACTGTACTTAAAAAACTTCATTTATGTGTTTCACACAATAGTAATAGCATAGTAAAATCCTTTTAAGTCTCTAAGGCCTAAAACGCGCATAGATTAATATTGGACTTAATTATTGACTAGATAAGAATTAATTTCTATTATAAAAAATTGTTTACTGAAACTTTGGAAGAAATAACATAATAGAGTTTGACAAATACAAAAGGAAATTTAAATTTGTTAAAAGCTTTAAGAATTTTGATCCTTAATATGTACCTTCCACAATGAATCTGGTTAAAGTGTTAAATTTAATTAATATTAATATATTCATATATATTTATAAATTAATCTATTAAAAATTGATATTAAAATATAGTTAGTGCCCATCTTTCTTCTTCTTTTCATACTAAATCTATTCACTCCATGTAATAAATTTTCATTAAGACTTGTTAGTTAGATCATAAGTTATTGTGTTTGGATTGAAGGGAAGGGAAGGAAAGAAAAGGAAAGGAATATAAAAGAAAGCAATGAAAACAGAAAAAATTTTCTTTTGCTTGAATAAACTTTTAATTTAACACTATATTTGAATAAATATTAATAAAGGAAAGAAAATAAAAGGAAAAGAAAGGAAAGAAAGTTTAACAACCATTATTTGGAAAATAGTAAAAAAAAAAGAAATAATTATTTATAATATTTTTTTAATAAAGTAGTACATAATATACAAATATATCTTTATATTACCTAATATGTATAAACAAAACTTTCTAAATAAAATTGAGCATGTTGAATGCAATAAGATATATTAGTTAATTATTGATTTACTCTTAATTTTGTATTTAACTTAATCTTTTAGTTTATTCTGACAATAATTTTGGCTTGTTTTGTTGTTAAGATTTAAAAAATTATATTTATAAACTGTAATATTATATAAAATACTCATAAAAGAAAATTATTTTTGTATAAGGTGTCAATTATATAATTAAATTTAATGTCATAATAAAAATAGGGATATAAAAAAAATTTTTGATAAAAATAATTTTTTTCAACTTTTCTTTCCTTGGCTTTTTTCCTAAATTGAAGTATTAAAAAAAAAAGATTACAAAGAAAACCAAAAATTATTGAGTTTCAATCTTTTTCTTTTTCTTTATTAATATTTATTCAAATATAACGATAACGAAAGAAAAGGTACATAATTAATTCTATCAATTTGAATCATTGCATCATTTTGAGAATAAAACACTTTAGAAAATATAGATTAATTAATTTTTAAATAAATCTGTTCATGGGTAGAACCAGACAAAATTAAGTTTGGTTGACTTTTGAAATTTTTTGTCCAAAATTTATTTTGATTTGACAAACCCAAATAAACCTGATTATTATTAAAAATATTTAAATATTAAAAATTTATTTTTATATTAATATTTTATATTTTTAGAATTAAATTAAAAAAAAATTTATTATTAAATAGAGATTTTGATCGAATCAACCACAAATCAAAAGAGTAGTTCAATCGATGAACACTATTAAAGACTATACACTGACTTAAAAGAAAAATGAAAGGCATTAGTTATGAAGAACTTGAAACTTTTTTTTGGTCTTTGGTTTGCCTTGATTGAGCTAAATAATGTTTGCTATAAATGAAATTGAACATGTGCAGTTAATTTAACGCAAGTGACATTGCACAGACAAGAAAAGTTTGATCTTTGATGAGGTTAGCCTTCACTTATGGTCCATTACGTCAAAGCCGACCATGCAAATTAATTGATCTATGATTAAATAAAATTAAAAACAAAAAGTCTGATCATCAACAGGAACTCCATTTCCAGTCATGTGCATTTAAGATTTTTTTTACTCATTTCACCTGTAAACTTCGGAATTTTCAATTCCATTGTTACCAACCAATCATTACAATAACAATTTGACTTTGGCACCGACAATGAAAATTTTACATATTGCATCTAAAAAACTTCATTTATGTGTTTCACACAATAGTAATAGTCAAGTCAAATCCTTTTAAGTCTTTAAGGCGTAAAACGCGCATAGATTAATATTGGACTTAATTATTGATTAAATAAGAATTAATTTCTAATAGTTGACTCAAATCTTTGAAGAAATAACATAATAGAGTTTGATAAATACAAAAGGAAATTTAAATTAATTAAAAGCTTTGAGAACTTTGATCCTTAATATGTACCTTCCACAATGAATCTGGTTAAAGTGTTAAATTTAATTAATATTAATATATTCGTATATATATTTATAAATTAAACTATTAAAAATTGATATTAAAATATAGTTAGTGCCCATCTTTCTTCTTCTTTTCATACTAAATCTGTTCACTCCATGTAATAAATTTTCATTAAGACTTGTTAGTTAGATCATAAGTTATTATGTTTGGATTGAGGGGAAGGGAAGGAAAGGAAAAAAAATATAAAGGAATGCAATAGAAACAAAAAATTATTTCTTTTGCTTAAATAAAATTTTAATTTAATATTATATTTAGATAAATATTAATAAAAAAATTAAATTAAATTAAATGAAAGAAAAAAAAGTTTTTTAAAGAAAAAGAAATGATACATGTACCCTTATTTGAATAAATAAAATTAATAAAAGAAAGAAAAAAAATTTTAACAACTATTATTTAGATAAATAGTAAAAAGGAAAGGAAATAATTTATTATAATATTTTGTTCAATTATAATCTTTTTTTAATAAAGTAGCATATAATATACAAATATATATTTATACTACCTAACTTGTATAATCAAATATTTATGAACAAAATTGAGCATATTTAATACGATAAGATGTATTAACTAATTATTGGTTTACTCTTAATGTTGTGTTTAATTCAATCTTTTAATTTATTTTGATAATAATTTGACTTGTTTTGTTGTTAAAACTTGAAAAATTATAAAATATTTATAAACTATAATGTTATATAAAATACTCATAAAAGGAAGTTATCTTTGTAGAATGTGTCAGTTATATAATCAAATCTAATATCATAATAAAAATATAGATATAATAGTTTTTTTCATAAAAATAAATTTTTTTTCAACTTTCCTTTTCTGGGCTTTTCCTCTAAATTAAAGTATTAAAAAAATTACAAGGAAAATTAAAAGTTATTGGGTTTTAACTTCTTTTTTTATTATTATTAATATTTATTCAAACATATGAAAGAAAATGTACGTAATTAATTCTATCAATTTGAGATATTGTGTCATTTTGAGAATAAAATGCTTTTGCAAATATATATTAATTTTTAAATAAATCTATTCATAGGTAGAATAGATTGAATTAAATTCGGTTTAATTTTGAAATTTTTTGTCCAAAATTTATTTTGATTCAACAAACCCAAATAAACCTGATTATTATTAAAAATATTTTAACTATTGAAAAATTATTTTTATATTAATATTTTAAATTTTTAGAATTAAATTTAAATAAAAATAATTTTTTAATTATTAAATAGAGATTTTGATCGAATCAGACCACAAATCAAAAGAGTAGTTCAATCCATGAACACTATTAAAGACTATACACCGACTTAGAAGAAAAATGAAAGGCATTAGTTATGAAGAACTTGAAACTTTTTTTTTTTGTCTTTGGTTTGCCTTGATTGAGCTAAATAGTGTTTGCTATAAATGAAATTCAACATGTGCAGTTAATTTTATGAAAGTGACATTGCACAGACAAGAAAAGTTTGATCTTTGATGAGGTTAGCCTTCACTTATGGTCCATTACGTCAAAGCCAACCATGCAAATTAATTGATCTATGATTAAATAAAACTAAAAACAAAAAGTTAGATCTTCAACAGGAACTCCATTTCCAACATGTGCATTTAAGATTTTCTTACTCATTTCACCTGTAAACTTCGGAATTTTCAATTCCATTGTTACCAAGCAATCATTACAATAACAATTTGACTTTTGCACCGACAATGAAAATGAATATTAAGTAAAAGTGTAAATAAGAGCGAAAACGAATAAATATGAATAAATTTTTATTATATTTATAATTTATTTATTTAATTAACGGATCATAAAATAGTATTCATAATCGTTAATTAAGCTTAATAAATAAACAAAAATCGGATTATTCGTTCAACGTTTTATTCATTTATACTCTTCACTGCAAAGGGTTTTCTTGGCTTTGTCTGACAGGGAAGCTCTTCCCGTTAGACCCAGAAAATGTGGATCATCGATAACTTCACCCTTAAACTTCCATTAAAATATATGTACTTATTGATATTAATTGCTGAGCTGGAGCCTTGGATCTGATGACATTATATAAAGAGCTAGCCTTGGCTGCCGCTGCTATTCTGCTGTAAGCTATTGAAAAGCCTAATTGTCTAAAGCAACATTCTCTTTGGTGCTAGGGAAATATGAAGGTAAGCTGCATTATAGCAATTTATTTTTTGGTACACTTGTTTCATCGAAAATTACAATCTTTGAACATTTTTGGGTAGAAAAAACAAAAGAAATTTCTTCATATGCTAATGCATGCATTTATGATCTTTTTATCATCTCCAATATTCTACTTTTGATCTCTGCCTGAAGAACAAATTCTTCTGGATCAATTTATAGAGCGGGTAATTCATGTATTTATATTTATTTATTTTTATCTAAAATGTGCAAAATACAAAAATTATCGTATTATAATTCGTGTTAACATGTCAAGCACAAAATTTATTTTTTCATATTTGTCAAACCCATAATTTTTATTAAAATTTTAAACCGTATTGTTTTATATTTTTTTTATCGTATTATCATATCATATTTTAAATTGACAGATTTACAATTTAATTTATATACTAAAAGATGATGTCTTGCTTTAATTGGTACAGCAAAAGATAGTTATCAAGGCGTCAATGCATTGCAGCAAATGCAGAACAAAGGCATTGCAGATAGCTGCTGCTGCAGATGGTATGTTTAATATTGATCTTCCAAAATCTAGTTGATCAAATTGTTCTAGTTTATCATTGATGTTTGACGTTTTTTTGTAATGGAACAGGTGTGACATCAGTGGCATTACATGGCTCAGAAAAGAATCAACTGATGATAATTGGAGATGGGGTAGATGCAGCAGGCTTGACAGACTCGTTGAGAAAGAAGCTTTGTCATGCAAGTTTAGAAATGATAGAAGAAGTGAAACCACCCAAACCAGAACCACCCAAACCCAAACCAGAACCACCCAAACCACCAAATCCGAATCCAAATCCAATTGTATGCCATTGTCCAATTGTATGCCATTGTCCAATTGTATGCCATTGTCAGCAACAACCCCAGGTTGAATATTATAAAGTAGTTTGTGAGCCCTATCCACCCCCTTGTACTATTATGTGAAACAAAAAGACTTTAATGGCATATCATCACCATTAATGAAGTCATGTTAGCTTGTTGTAACTCCAATAATTAACTCATTTTCCCCAACTTCTTGTTCTTTCCTCATTTGTAGTTCTCCAGCTCCATAGATTAAGACTTGACAATTCATATATATTGTGTTCATATCATGTCAAATTCGTTTATCGTATTAGATTCGTGTTAATACGTTAAATATAAAATACATATAAAATTCATTTATAATTGTTTATTAAAATTTTGAATCATATCATTTTTGTATATTTTTTTGTTTAATTTTTTTATCGTGTCACCACATGAAGATTAAAATTACTAGAGGCATCAATTTTTTCAGATGAAGATATTACTTCATTACAGTAACGGATTAAAAATCACAACTTTTAAATACATTCTAAAGCCAAATGCATTGGGTATTTGCTGTTCTTTAAGACTTTTGCAAGATTTTTCTTCATCTCCTGCATCAAGAAAAAAAATTTTGGAGTGTTCAACTTGCTCTAATAATGCAAGCACTATGCACTCCATGGCCCATTTTAGAGAGAGATTTTGAAAACTAAAAAAAAAAATGCAAAATCAAGTTAGCACAGCACATGGATATTGGAGAGTGGAAGGGACAACTATTAGATTTTGAAAACTAAAAAAAAATGCAAAAGTATATATTTTGCATATATTAATTGATTTCAGGAATTTATTGGAAAACTATATACATAGTTAAGGAAGTCAAATTATAAAATATTACTTGGGAAGGATAAGACAGATGCACACTCCACCAGCTCACAATTCTAAATGTCCAGTTGTTTTTAAGATTCCTCTCCGAACTATAGAAAAGCATGAAGACAAAGAATTTACGAAGTATGGACATGTCTGTATTTCTTAGATACTTTGTGTGTCGACTTCATGTCTGATACTTTTAATATGTCGAAATACGTATCAAATTGATAATGAAGAAGAACCATCAATTTTTCTTTCTAACAGTAATTTTTTTCAAAAATAATCTAATATCTATCATATATTTTTAACTAATGATTATATAATATATAATAAATATTTTTTATTGTCATATTCTTCCATATTTATGCCCTATTATTTAAAAATTATTGTATTATTATGTTAATATCATGTCGTACCAACGTTACGTATTCGTGTTTGTGCTTAAAGTAATCTAATATCCATACCGAAAAAAAATCTTAGGCTAATAAGTATACAATTTTAAAAGAGTGAAGATTGAAAGAATCTTAATCTAATTATCAGTGCCATATCAACTGAGAGATCTGCTAGGATTTGTTTCATGATTAAGCATCCTAAAAGTCAACTAGCTAGGGATTAAGACAAGGAATTTGTAGCATATAGAGATCATTAAGTCTCCAACAACGTTCCTTTTTTTTTTTTTTTGGCTTGGGAAAAAAAAATAGAATTTAACTGCATTTTTGGTCACCAACAACGGAAAATAATTATCCATTTTTTGAAATTTTTGCTAATGCTGTAATATAGAAATATAAAATGTGGAATATGAACAGAAAAAGGACTTTAGGCAAGTTAGAATTAATAAAACATAAATGCAAGTTTAAAAAAAAATTCAATAATTCACTATACTTATGAAGATTTGCATAAAAAATTGCATGCAATGATTCGAAAAAAAATGACGATCAACAAAATTTAAATTTCGATATTTATAATTCTTTTATCTATTTCCAAACTGTTATATTTGTTAAAAAAAATAATTTTGAAAGGTAGAACCAAAATTACAGAAAGATACATTGTATTATTTATTTTTTATAAGATATTGTTGGTTGTTCCTCCTTGATAAATCATAATAATAAAAGCATTTTTGCTTAAACTATTGGAGAGATGAGATTTTTTTTTAATCTCCTAATCTACACCCTCCTATTCTTTATACTTGACTGAAAAAAATTTATGCACATAAATTTTTTCAAACTCACAACATCTAATTTAATCCAAACATAATTGGCTTAATATGAGAGACTTGAATACAGAATTGCAGAGAAATTAGAAAATAAAACACAGAATTTAAAAATTCCAAGGCATATTAGACATGGACCAATATCCAGCAAATTCTTTGGCAATTGATCACACCTCTTTCTAAACAAAAAACCTAAGGTTTAAAAAAGAAAAGTTATAACAAAAATTGCTGTAATAGTTGTACTTAAGCTTAGGAGTCAGGACGATATGATGAAATTTAGCAAACTCTCAAACAATTACCTGTCTATCATGCATTTTGCTGTATTTTCCGGTGTATTTGCATTATCCAATCAGCATAACCACTGGTACCACCCATTTGGTCCTCGAGAAGATTTAAGAGAAGCAGCAAACCTTCCCTCGGTTGCTCACCTTGTCTTATAAGATAAGAAAGTTGATAATAGGAAGGGTCACTCTCTCTTAGTTTCTTCAATATCCTCATCAACCTTCTCGACACTTCATTATCGTGTTCGCTAAGGGTAACCTGATTTTCAAAGAGAAAACATAAAGAGAATCAGGGTAAGGCAGGGTGAGGAAGGGTCAAATGAACAGATCAACTTCCAATAAGATTATCATGGAGAAAAAAGTGCACATGCATATAAGGTTCCGAAATAGGGCAAAAAAACCATAAAAAACAAGAAAAACATACTCTACAGCAAGATTAGATTCCAATCATAGGTTGCAGTTTGACATTAATTTATAGATATTTAGAAATCAGATAATAAGACCGCTCCAAATTTTCTTGTTAGTCATATCAGACACATTCTATTCAAGGCAGATTTACTATATTAACAAAGGCAGCATTTGAGGCACATCTTATATATGCTTAATACCAACAAAAATATCAGTATCCTCTATACATAAAATGGTGAATCATATAATACTCAACAATGTTGTCACAATAAGAATAGCTTCATCAACATGAGATCATACCTTTGATAATTCTGCTGCAAAGTCTGCCCCAAGTAAATTCTTAGCTATATCAGGTAAAAGCATTCTACCAAACCATATAACAAAGCGGAAGCCATCATCATATATATAAAGGCCTCTTGAATCTAGGCTTTCTGCAACCAAAGGCAATCTCTTCATAAAGTTTTTGAAATCATCAGCTTGAGCAGATGGCTGCAAATATGAGACAGAAGTGAAGTTCAGTTTGCAAAATCTACATCTTTATTGAAATATACTCGAAGGGTCAAAATCATTCACCTTCAAAAGATACTCATCAATTCGTATCAAGCTAGAATATAAAAGCTTCAACAATTTTTTAACAGGTAATGCCATCTTGGTGAAACCTGCCGCGCAGCGTTCATCAAGCTGAGCATCAGCATATCCTCCTTTCAGAGGCACAGATTTAGCCAGTGCTAATCCATACAAACACAAGAACTTTAGAGACTCTGGATAAATCATCCTAGCTCCCAAGCGATGCTGCACAGCATAGAGATTGCGGTATTCTCTGAGTGCTTTTACAATCCTTAGTTGCAAAGAATTTCTAGCATCTTCAAGTTTATTGGTCAAAGTTTTCTCGATTGCTGCAAAATATCAATTGATTAGAAAATATAAGGATCCTCTGAAACTAAGATCCAATGAAACAAATAGCACCCCTTGTAAAGGGGCTTTTGTTCAACTTTACCTAATCTACAAAACAAAGAAACAATGGCACCAGTGTCAGCCTGGCGGTACATCTCCCCCAGATCAGTAACAACAGGGGCAGCTGCAGTATGTACTCTGATGCGCCTCTCTCCACAAGACGCAGTGTATCTTTAAATTGTTAAAGAAAAATCACCAACCCATAACCTTTTCCACTTCTAAAAGTAACCCAGCCAGCTTCAGAAAACAAGGAAATAACCCAATATATTAAAATTGATACAGTAAAGCAATGCCCTTAAAGGATACAGTAATGCGACTTGGAAATATACTGTTTGAGTTGTCAGCAGTGTCTCCTCAAGAGATAACTGCGTTGCGTATGCCTTATCACAATCTACAGCAGGAAGTGCTAATAAATCTGTCGACCTCAGCATAAAGTTCCCATGATAAGATGTAAACCGAATCCCTGGTGCAAGTATTGAATGACATGGATCAACTGCTTTGTTATCATAAAATCATGGGGAAAAAGGTAAAAATAAATAAATAAATAGCATTTTCCATGAGCAATGGGATTATGGCTTAATAGCATTGAGTTACAAATGAATTCAACAATAAATAATAGAATCACCAGACCTTTTCCACATCTTATGCGCATAACTGCTTCCCAGGCTGTTTCCCTAGTGAGATCTCTGGCTAATTCATGCCTCAACTTCTCTCCATGAATGCCTGATTGGAAGCTCGGATAATAATATACTTGACCTCCAGTATATTTTGCCAGGGTTCCTACATTGAAATTCATAAAAGAGACAAGAAGTATAATTAAAAGCTCTTCTAAACTTCAATATCATTTTTAACCTGAAAGTCAAAAAGGACAGTGATTCTTGTACCTAAGGAAGCTATGTCAGTGTATTTGTCACTGAAAGCATAAACGTTAACCCCTATCTGGTACTTTGTAAGATCAGCAGCCATTTGCTTGTAGAAGGGATCTTCTGGTAATCTCAATATATGTTCCTTATCAGTTCCATACACACGAAGATCATCTCCACGCAACTTCAAGCGCCCAATTCCGAGGGAAGGCAATGAGTTCTAGAAGATCAGCAACTTTCCTCCAAGTTGTGTCTGCAATAAATAGGTGGTCAAACAACCATTATACAATACAATCATCAGCAAGAAACTGAAAGGCATTTCATAATTGGTAAAAGCTCACGGTAGCAATGGTAGAGAAAACAACACACCATAACCATGAATGTTGCCTTAAGTGCAGGACCAAAAGCAGATTCGACATTCACATTGTTCTGAAACATAGAGGGCAAGCTATCCAGGAATGTTTCAACCACATTTCTAGATTCAGACAAGTTGACAAGGAGGTCATCTGGCAATGAGACAAATATATCATCCAGATCTGAAACCACCATCATTTGAGGCTGCGTAAGAGATGACTGTGGAGAAAAAACTCAAAAGTTATTTTGGAAGTATTTCGGCTGAAACGGAGAAAATTTGAGGCATCTCAGAAAAACTTGTCCCCTGATTTGATAAGTCACTTGCCTTCATATTGTAAAAATGAATTGTGCTATCAAAAGTAATGAAACCAATCTGTGTTCTGGGGAAGCCAGGCAGCTCATCCAAACATGACCG